GTAGAGTGAATGTTGCGGAGGAATATACTTTGCGGCCAAATAAGTCAAGGCATTTACTATCCTTGTCCGCAGCAGTAGGCTTATGTTGGGGCATCTTCACTTTCTGCTGTACTGCATCCACAACCAATGAATTGGGCTGTGGATGAGTAAAAAGAAACTCCGTCCCTTTGGTGGGGACGAAATACTTTTTATCCGCCTTTTTATTCGTGGGTGGAGTGGATGCAGTCAGCTGCCAAATATCATCAGCTATCTCTAGAATAGCTTCATCTAATGGCAGTGAGATTTTTGGCTGGTGAGACTGCTTGATGTTACGGTGGAGGTGATGTTGTTTCTGTTGCACATCCCCCATTTGCACCTTTTGGCTTTCTGCCACTCTTTTAAAAAGCTCTTGCAAGTGGTGGAGGTCATCCGAGGGTGAGGTGTCTCCTTGAAAAACTGCGTCGTCTGGGAATGAGGAAGATTGGTCTGTAGGCGACCAATCGGGTTCAGGTTCTCGAGTGGGAAGAGGTTGTTGTGTGGCTCAAGTGTGTGAAGGAGACCCTGACGGAGCTGATGGTCTTGAAGATGGGGGAGGAGCAGGGTACTCCCTGGTGAGAGAGGAATGGGAGTGCACATGAGGTAACCGGTGGTGATGAGAAGACAACCATGGTGATGTTAGGGCGATGTGGAACACCGGTACTGTCTATAATAGTCAGAATGGGTCGAAAATGTGGGTGATCTAGGAGACCGTGACCTCTCTCTATAATAGGTATAGCTGGATGACCGATGATCATGATGGTAGTGATGTCCTGATTGTGGAGAAGCGTGATGAGTACAAGAGTACCCAGAATATGCTGGAGATGGTGACCATACTTCAGGCGAGAATTCTGGGCTTGGTGACAGAGATGGTAGTTTCTTGGTCCTGTGACGGGTAGGTAATGCCAACAACTGCTCCGGAGGAGAGGAAGTTGGAGTGGAGATTGCTGTATGAGGAATTAGCTCCACTGGTACTGAGGAAGACAGTGCCGAAGTGCCCTCAACCACCGAGGGGCGTGCCGAAGGGGCGATTGTTGATGGAGACCATCTCGGTGCCAGCGATCGTGATGGGCCCGATGGGTGTTTGGAGGGAGAGGATCGCCTCAGTTCCGGAGAGCGTCTCAAAGGCGAGGGACATCTCAGTGCTGGCGAGCGCCTTGATGGAGAGGGGCACCTCTGTGCCGATGATCAGCCCGGTACAGAAGGGCGACTCAGTGCCAGCAAATATCTCGACGGAGAGAGACATCTGGACGCTGGCGAACGCCTCACCGGTGATCAGTGTCTCGGTGCCGGCGAGTGTGAAGGAGGCAAAAGATTCCTCAGTGTCGGTAATCGACTCAGTGCCGGCAAGCTTGCGGGAGAGAAAGGGCGCGCAGGTGTCACAGAGCGTTTCTGCATCAGTGGTCTCAGTGCTGGTTGTCTCAGTGTCGGCGAGCGTCAAGACACTGGAGAACATCTTGAAGGCGAAGGACGTCTCGGTGCCACATGTGCCCAGGACAGAGAGCGACTCTGTTCTGGTGATCGTGCTGGAGTATGAGTTGGTGCCGACGAGCGCTCCTGTGCCAAGGAGCAGCTCGGTGCCGGAGCCTGCGTTGGGAAGTGAGTCGGTGCCGGGGAGCGGCTCAGCACCAGGGAGCATCCGGCACTGGGAGAGGGTCTTGGAGCCATGGAGGTCCCTAGAGGTGTTTTGGGGTTCTCGGCGCCGTGGAGGTCCCTGGAGGCAGTTTGGAGACCGAGGGAACGGCTGAGACCATGGAGCCCGATATGGAGGGGCTTGGAGCCAACTTACTCCGGCTTTCTTTTGGCTCTCCAGCGCCGCGTGTGGCAGATGCCGCTGAGGTCCCTGGCTTATCGCCAACGCTCACCCATGAAGGTGGAAGGGATCGCAATGGAGATGGTCTCTTCTTCGTTTTCTTGGTTTGTTCTGTGTGCCCCTTTGGTTGTTGGGTTTGGGGCTGCAGGACTTTGTCAAATAACAGGATTTTCAAGCGCATGTCCCTGTCTCTTCTTGCTCTGGCTGTGAGCTTGAGCAATGGGGATATTTTTGGAGGAATGTGGCCTTCCCCGAGACACCTGATACAGAGGGAATGGCCATCGGAGGCAGGCATTGCCTCGTGGTACTCGCCATATTTCTTAAACCCAGGCATTGAAACTATTTACAGAAACTAATAGCTACTGAAGGAAAAAAAATTTTTTTAAACAACTGGAACTGCTAACTATAAATAACTAAGAACTATAACTATAACTGTAACTATGTACTAAGACTACCAATAAGCTCTCTCTCTCTCTCTATGTAACAGGAGTTAAAGAGAGAGCGATCAGTCCATCCGCGGCTGAGGACAGTCAGGAGGAACTGGCGGGATCCAGACCACACGCAGTCAAACGGCGCGAAAAGCCACGAGCCGCACTTCGCGCATGTGTGGTCCAGCAGACTATGGCTGAAAAAGATCTCCGATCTGTGGCGCTGGGACAAGCCCAACACCTACAGTGGAGCACCCACTGGACACTGCTCAAAGAAGTAGTGCAGGAACCCAGAAAGTGAAATCCAATGCATTATTGATTTCAGTCTCCAGTTAGAATCTAAAAACATGGCTACACTAGAGACTTTATAGCCGCATCAGTCTTTCATTGTAATCTCTCTAATCCCTCTAAGGTGAAAAGAGAGAGCTCTTCCATTGGCTTAACTACTCCAGCCCCCACAATTAGCCGAAGCTATGTTTGTGGGAGAAGCTCTCCCGCTGTAACTTACACCAATGTATGTCACTCAGAGGTGACTTAGTCATGCACCTTAGGGCATGTGTACACTAGGAAATTATTTTGAAATAACTGATTTCAAAATAAAAACTCCCAAAACAACTATTTTGAAATAATATATCCACACTAAATGGAAACCTCAAAATTAGTCCAAGTCACACTCCCTTAATGTGGATGCACTATCTTGACTTAGAGCATGGGTTTCCAAAGTGGGGGGCGTGCAGAAATTCCAGGGGGCGCGCAAGATGACCCAGATCTGCCTCCCCCCTTAATCCTCTTCCCCTAAGTTTTGCTGCTATTTTTGTTTTTCTGCCCCAGTCAGTTCCTTTTTTTGCTCAACAAGTTTTGCTGCTATGGTGGGGGAGATGGGAGGGTTGTGAGGATTTCTCAAAAATCAAAAAGGGGCGTGATGCTGAAAAGTTTGGGAACCACTGACTTAGAGCCTCAGGAAGCACTGGGAGTAATTACTTTGAATGACTCTGAGGAGTAGTTAGTAAGAAATAGTAGCAGTGAACTGTCAATGCTTCCACTATTTCAAAATAAGAGTTATTCCTCGTGGATAGCAGGAGTTAGTGTCAATGCTACCACTATTTCAAAATAAAGAGTTATTCCTCGTGGATAGCAGGAGTTATTTTGAAATAACGGGCTTGGTAGTGTGGATGCGCCACTTGTTATTTCAAAATAACTCCTCAGTGTAGACCAGGGCTGAGCAATGTAAATAATGCCAATATAAGCTGTAGTGTAGACACAGCCTAAATTAGGTCAGGAACATATTTACTTTTACCAAATTTAATACTTCTCTTTTATGAGGATAATGAAGTAAATATGGTGACTAGGAGAGACAGGAACCCAATGACTTTGATTTCCTACAGATACTAACACAGACAAAATCATTTTCCATTTGTTTGACTTGGGGTTAGGAGACTGAACACAAAACAGCTCCTTTAGTGTTTTGAGGCACATTTTTAAGTGCAATCTCCTCTATAGTCTATTGAACCTATTGATCTGTTGCATCTAAGATTTGCACCAGGAAAATATAAATTAAGTCTTTTTTATCATATAAACTAGAGAACTTCTCATTATGACAACTGCCTACTAAATATTAAAACGCCTGTTTTAATCATACTCTTAAGTTGCATCACTCACCAAACTACTGATGGCTTTGGCAGCAGAGTTATTTGGGCCAGTTCAAAATGGGATTTACTGCCCTCTGGGCATTTACTAAGCTTCTAAAACTGCTGCATCAAAATTCCTGATGCATATCAAAAAGCTTCATGTAATAAAAGATAAGTTCCCAAACCATCCACTTGACTGGATTTTTCAAAGAAAACCTCCTTTATCACCAAATGTGAAGCTTTGTTTGGTTTTAGATCCCCAAAATGGACATGTCCAATGGATCACGTCTGAGTCTTTTTCCATAGGAGAAGAGGTGTTTATGAGACCTTATCAATGCTCAGATCCTTTTCCACTTGGGACTCTGCAGTTTGTATCTATATAGATTGTAATTCTAGAGCATCGTTTACAATAACACTTCTCAGAGATATTCCTAGCATACTTGATAATGGGCTCTGTTCTTCATGTGTCAGATTTAGCAGTTTTGCTTACTGTGTTTTTGTTTTATACTGTATTGCAGCTGCTGTTGTAATTTCTTGCCTTTGATTATTGTAACAAAGCTTCGCAAAGAGAGGAGTTCTTCAACTTTCTATGAAAACTGTCATTCTTGGGTTCAGTTTATTTGGACCCATAATTCTTCATGTGTCCACATTGCTGCCTATCAACATATGTATAAAATGACTTTGAAAAGATACACGCAAAGACACATGTTGAGTACAAGTCAAGCCTCTGACAATAAAAAAGTTACTCTTCCATAATTGTTGTTCTTTGAGATGGTACACATATCCATTTCAGTGTAGATGTGCGTATCTTGTGTATCTGTGGTGCCTCACACAGCTTGAGGCATAAAGGGCCCCTGTGTGACTCAGTTCCTTCCTGTCAGAAAGACTCTGATAGAGAGGGAAGTATACTGAGGCGAGCCAATCCTGCAGTTCCCTAAGGTGAAATCTAGTGTTCTGGACCATGTAGATGCATGCTACCATGTGCCATAGAAGTCTGAAGCACTGTCAAACCATAGTGAGAGGAAGTAGCTTTAGAATTAGAATGACCCACCGTGCACAAAACCAGGAGTCTAGCACTGCACCAATGAACTCTATTCTCTGAACTGGCATCACAACAGATTCTTCTGTATTAATAGCCTCAGTGTTTGAAAGACTGACTGGCTAGTGGCTATGCCGGGAGAGCACTTGACATCTGGTCTCTCAGTAGCCTGTCATCCAGATTAGAGAACATATGGATTCCCAACCTACACAGAAGAGCCACCACTGCTGCCATGGATTTTGTAAACATACAAGGGGCTGCTGTGAGGTCAAAAGGGAGAGCTGCGAATTGATAGTGTGTTGGCCATGAACCTGAGGAGCTTGCTGTGGCTGCAATGAATTGCCACGTAAAAGCAAGCATCCTTTAAGTCCTGAGCAGCATACTAGTCCCCACTCTCTAAGGAAAGGATAATAGAAGCAAGAATAATCATCCAACATTTTATTTTCGTCAGAAATTTGTGCAGTTGCTTTAGATCAAAAAGAAGCCTGAGTTCCCTTTTGCTTTTGGCATTAGGTGAAATTTGGAACTGAATCCTTTCCTTTGAAAAGGGATGGGAACTTCCTCTATGCTTTCCCTTTCACCCCAAGGAGACTGAATCTCCTGACGTATCATGATTTCATGAGAGTGGTCCCATGAGAGGAATGGAGTAGGTCATGGAAAGGGGAAACAGAAGTAACCTGGAGGATGCAGTCCTGGAGGATGCCTTACTTAGGACTCATTGATCTATGGTAATGCAGAACTGAGCATTTAGGATATGAGATAAGTGGTTGGCAATAATAGGGGAAGGGAACAATGGTATCTAGAGAAGTGATAGGCTGCTCTTAACTTACAGGTCAAAATTAATACTGCAGGGGGGATCAGTCTGCCTGGATGAAGCAGGCACTGTGGAAGAGGAAAGAGGCGTAGATCATTTTTATAACTTCTGCCCACTCTCTCAATAGATATTAGCTATGAGGCACAAATGTGTGGAATTGCTGAGACTGTTCTGGGCAGAAAGCTCTTTGTTGCTGGTGTACAAATCCCCACAACTTAAGTGTTGCTTGAGTAATTAAAGCTATGAAGCTTTTCATTCATTTTCTCAGAGGACAGCAAAAGGACTCTGAAAAGGTCTTGTATGGTTCACAGTACCTCTTGAGGCAAAACTGATGATTGTACCCAAGGTGACTTGCTTGGAAACAGAGGAAGCCATAACACAAGCCACTAAATTTACTGCATCCTTCCTTCCTTGCTTCCAGGGGTGTCCTAGCCACTAATCTATCCTAATCAACCAGAGTGGTAACTACTAGGGATGTAAAATCCTAGTTAACTGGTTAAACAATGTTTAACCGGTTAACTGATTAAGGGGGGAGGGGCAGGGTTCCTAACTCTCAGGGTTGAATTGTCAGATACCAAATCTATCAAACCTGCACATGATGTAAGCAAAACAATGTTCTGCCATTTTTCTGCCCCACAAATCCTGTGTATGTGTAGGTATCAGTTCAGCCACTGATGCAACTTAAAGCAGCCTCAAGGCTGTTCTATATTGCCTAGTCTGTAAAAGTTCCTTCAGGGACATTATGCTGGTAGATTTCAGAAACATATCCCTTCTATCCACACCCCTTCCTATTCCTTGCCATCTTCTACACAAGGAAAGAAGATCTGAGAAATTTGGTAGAAATCTGGTGTAGGTTGAACTAATTCTTAGGACTGTCCACTAAAGAAACACAAACACAGTTTTAAAAGGGCTGAGGATCTGGTGCATATTTATATAGCATTCTTAGAGAACATATTTCTCTCATTCAAACACATCATAGCACAACTGCCAAATTTTGTGCAGCTCCATCTGCTATCTTTCTCACTGCTTGAAGAGTGTTGTATATAAAGTTGAAAATGTTATATACAAAATATTTCATATGTAAGTTAAATAATTAAATATGCACAATGAATCACACAGCAGCACAAAACTTGGCAGCTATTAAACCACTTCCTCAGTTTTGAATCATCACTCACCAAACACTTCCAGGTTCAGACTACAACCTCCACACACAACCATTCATACTTACAAAATCTAACTTCAAAACTCTCTCCCATCCTAATTTAATTTGCATAAAATGTCAGATGGATTTGTACAAAATTTGGTAGCTATGGAATCACCTCCAGCCCCAACAGGAGTCCACCACGACCACCTTGCATTATAACAGGCACCTATGCTGTAATATTACTAGTGAGGCGAGGCCCCATCCCCTACTAACCATTGCCCCTGGGATGATGGGTAAAAGCGAAGCCAAAGTGGAGAAGGTTGCAGTAGCCATTGGCCCTGGGATGATGGGTAAAAGGGAAGCCAAAGTGGAGAAGGTTGCAGTAGTTGAGGTGGGAAATAAGTATAGTATGGATGAGCAACTTGTCAGCAAAGAGAGAAAAAGGGGATGAATTTTAGAGATATGTGAATGGGTAGGCTTTGGTGAGGACCTGGATGTAAAGAAAGATGGGAAAAAGTAACATACTTGAGTAATGGCAGAGATGTTAAGTTATGTGAACTGGACAATACAGAAGGGAAGAGGAAAGGATTTACAAGGGAAGATAATATAAAAGCCATATCAAATGTGATCATGTTATTCTGCATTACGAACACCTATATGCTACATATTGCCGGGTGCCAACAGAATATTACTGACAGAGAGACTGCAAAAGTAAATGTCAGCAATGATATGTTGTTTGACATGATGTCACCAGGATGAAACATCCATAGCAAAGTGTATGCAAAAACGAGACACAGATCTGTATCTTGAAGCAACATACTTTCCACATTTTTGTTTAGGTTTTGAAGAACTGCCTTTTGGACTAGTTAACATCTTTTAGCCAATTGTTTCAGTTTAATCCAGAGTACTACCAGTTGGAAGAGCTTTATGTTACCAATGAGTAATGCTGTTTAATACAATTTCTCTCACATAGTCTGCTTGCAGTTTAACACTGTGCTTGTAATAACCAATGTTTACTGTCTTAGTGAATTTGTACTTCCACCTCATCTCTAAAAGTATGATTTTAGTTTTAACCCCATCATTCGTGGTAGAAAATGCATTGCAGGTTTTTCTTTTCATTGTAGGCATTGTCTTTCTGCATATTAATAAAACCAACAACATATTGACTTATTTTGCCGTTTTCTTGAGCTGACTAAACACCATTATTGTGACTACATGCAACAATTGTAGAAAAAATTGACAACCATTTCCTATGACCTCCCTAAGGATTTTGCTCTTAATGTAAGCTCAATATTTGTACATTTTGGTTATGTCAACACTTGCTGGGGGTAGAGGGATGACTGTTTACAAAGCTTGCCTAGAAAATTAAATATTTACTACAGCTGTGCTCAGCAGCAAGGGAAACCCATGAGTAGTTAGCTCTGCTTTTGTCAATCTAAGCATACCAATGACATCTATGCTACATATAAGGACCCCAACTTCCAGAGCTGTTGAGCACCTCCCAACTCTACTTCAATTGAAGTTGTGGGCATTCAACATTTCTAAAGGTCAGATCCTAGGATCTGTGTAAGTTTTCAACACATGACAATGGTTTTAGCTGACACACTGCCATGTCATCACATTTATGTACAATATCAAATGTAATAAATAAAACTAATTCTCCAGTTTCAATTAGATCAAGATTTAATTTACAAAAGAAATATAACTATATTATTAGAATTAAAAGCAATAGTTGCTTTAATGTGATTGAATATAAAAGCCTAAACAATTCAGAAGTCTTCCTGGGACAATTTTCCCTTGCCTCAAGTATATAAAGATAATCCATCTCTAACCATTTCTTGGATCTAGCGGCCTGTGCCCAGTATAAATGTTCTCTTTTATATTAAAAAAACCCACACCCCTAAATATAGTACAATGTTAAGAGAACAAATGAAATGTTGTTTGAAGTGGGAACTGGCCCTTTTTACTGAATCTGTTTTAACGTCTACAAGTAAAGGTTTACGATCTTCTCATCCAAAGCAACCAGTATGTGTGCTTTCTTTTCTCAGTTCTTATTAAGTTATCATTCTAGTATTGCCAGTTTTTCTCCCATAATGCCCAATGTGACTTTTGAAATTACTTATCGTCTTTTTCCCTTTTTTTGTACAGGTGGGACAGGGACACGCGGAATGGTCTATCACTCAGGCATCCTCAAACACACGAGTCTATTCAAAAAGGTATAGAAAGAAGGCATAGAAAACAAAAATAAGCAGGATTAAGTCTGTGTCTAATCTGCTTTTATTCATGAATATTCTTTAGAGAAAATCAACACAAACTCCAAAGAACTCTGGATCATGGTAGTTTCTATATTTTAGGAAAGTCAAGTCATAGGAGAATCATAAGGCTGCATATACATTTCAAGATTTTAGCATTTTGTGTCTATGTGTTTAACTGAGTATCAAAAAGGTATATAAATGTAAAGATTTTAGCATTTTGTGTCTATGTGTTTAACTGAGTATCAAAAAGGCCACAAACTAATAGTTGTATTTGCTCAAACACTGAACGCAATATTTGAAGAGTGATTACTCATAAGAATATTTAACTGGAACAGCCCCTCTAATTATTATCATTTCCCATCTAAGTCAAGTCTATTTCTAAGTTTTTAAAGTGTGGGTAAATCTCTGTATTTTTAATGCTTGATCTGAAGTTGCACCAACACATTTCTGTGCATTAGTCTGTACAGGATCTTTTTTATTTCCTCGTTATATATACACAGTAGTATCTGCATTCAGATACACAAATGTTGAAAACTGATGATAAAAGGCTGTTTGTTAGATATACTCCAAAAGCCAAATCCTGTGTAAGCAGTAAACAAAGATAAATGGCATTTTATTCAAAGACATGAGTAGAATAACATGTTCACAAATCCTATGTGAACAGATGTTTAATTGCTTCCATAGTAATTAAAAAATCTAAACATTTATGTTCACAGCTGTCTTCTCATGAGCCTTTTTGTAAGGATCAGCATTTACAGCATTTGCTGGCAGATTCTCAGATACAGCAGATGTCAGAGCTGAGAATTTTGCTATTGTGGTGTTCTTAATTCTCTGTTGCATCAGTAGACAGTCAAGACTGGATTTTGCTTTCTGCAAGGGACTGCTCATAGAAATGTATTAGATAACTTGTTTCCTCTAGATTTAAATGGATTTGTAGTTGCCTGAAACATGAAATTCAGGTATTGTTAGATATTTTATGTGTTATGTGAACACCTCATGCTTAGAGTCAGTATTCAACCAAAATATGATGCTACTTTTCCTTCAGGGTAGGGGGCTGGCAGTGTGGGACTGGCAGGGGGCTTTTTCCCTCCCCCCTAACCTCTTCTGGTCCGGAGGTGGTGGCGGCAGGGGACTCTCTCTTCTCTTCTCCCGGATGGGGGGTGGCAGCCAGGGCTCTCAGGCAGGGACACCCTATTTATCCGGTCTGGTGGCAGGCAATATGGCAAGCTCCAGCCTTGCTGCCCCCTCCCTGTAGTGGTCACTGTACAGCAGAAGCAGGGAACACCAAATTCCCCTCAGAGCTTAGGGCAGGTATGGGCAAAAGGGCCTCACGGGCCACATCCAACCTGCCAAACTGATTGATTCAGCTCGTGGAGGCTCTGGGTCGGGGGCCACGGGGCTGGCCGGGAGGAAGGCGGGGGCGAGAAGCAGAGCAGGGGGAGAGGGGATCGGGGGCCGCTGGACAGGAGGAGGGGGGGCCAGAGGAAGGGGAGCAGGAAGCAGAGCTGGTGTGGGGAGAGAGGGGGTGCAGCCACTGGCTGTAGCCCGAGTCCAACATGCCACGCCCCCAGCAGGCACTCCCTCTAGTTGCTAGTAGAAGCCGGGCAGGGCCACGATTGGCGCTGGGAGCCTCTGGTTGTGTGCAGAAGCTGGGCAGGGAGAGTGGCTGGGAGTCCCAGCCACTGCCCCCGTCCTATCCAGCCCCACCCCGCCTTTGACCGTGACCACAGGGCTCCCAGCCCCAATCCCTGCCTCCCAGTCGCTCCCCTACCCCCGCCAGGCTTCTATCCGGCGCCCAGCCAGAAATTCAGAAAATACCGGACATTGCACAGAGGGTGCAAATAGCAGACTGTCCGGTAGAAAACTGGACACCTGGCAACCCTAGGTTAGAGGAAACTTCGCACACTCCCTCTGTCCTCAGACCCTAATTGGCCTGGGAGCAGGGGAGCACGTGAAGCCTCCTCCTGCCCTGCCAGAAGCGCACAGTGCTTAGAAGGCACCAATCAGATCCTCAGGATGGGGGGAGCGTGCAGTTTCCTCCGCCCTGCCCCCACCCTGTAAGGAGCACGCGGCACTTAGAAGCACCACGCACTCCTGGCAGGGGGGGGGGGGGCGTCCTCTAAGGGAACACGGGAAGTCTCCTCCCACCACCAGGCGCATGGGTGCTTAGTGAGAAGGGAGGTCTCAAAGGGACTCCCCCACCCCCAGAGCGATCATCCTGCCCTGCCCCTTCTATTTGAGGCCCCGCCCCTTCTGGCGTGGCCCCAGGCAAAAAATTATTGCCTACCACTGGCCCAGTGGACCCAGTCTAGTAGATTTTGTGTATTCCAGCTCTACAGCAGGGTGGCGGGGGGGAGCTGGAATGTCAGCACAGGGTTTCCAATGCTGGGGGATAGCCCTGAGACTTGGGGATTGGATCCAGGCAAGCCGGGACATGCATCTGGACCCTGGGCCATAGGTTCCCCACTCCTGCTCTACAGTATAACTCACAGTGGTGACTGTGAGTATTGTATTCCTCCTCTTTCTGCCCCCTCCCTTTTCCACTTTCTGAAGAACAGTCAGATGGCCAGCACTATCCCATATAACCAAACCCTGACCTTGCTTTAAATTAGGAAAAGGACAAAGCTGCATACCAAATTTAGTGGTTCTAGTTCTTATAATTTCTGAGGATCCCATATAACCAAACCCTGACCTTGCTTTAAATTAGGAAAAGGACAAAGCTGCATACCAAATTTAGTGGTTCTAGTTCTTATAATTTCTGAGGAGTTCTTGAACAAACAGACTCACAGACAGATAGATGCACATATCTAAAATCTATAGATAGATCTGGTATTTGTACACATTGACAGCGCACCATTACAACAACATTCCATTAGTTCTCTATGTATGTTCATATAAATAAACTAAAGACCAAAATAGTAAATAAACCACATGTTAACAGGAAGGATACTTTTTCAAGGATCTTTTGGAATATTGCCTTATTTTTTTAAAACATTCTTAAATTGAGCGCACACTCTACTTGATATGACACAAACAGGTAATTGCATACACAGTGTAAGGTTGCAAATGGTGATACTATATAATTCTTCAGGATGGCATAATATTTACATATGCATTATAAATAAAAACTCTAACAATAATAGGATTTGTTCTAATACACTGGAGCAAGACTTCCAATTTGTTTAGGAAAAAAGCAATGTTAACCAAATTAAATAGAAATGGAAAATATATCCAGATAAGCTATTCATACATCTGTACTCTGCTATAGGTGTAAGCATAGCAGATTCCATGCCATTTTAGTAATGGAGTTATTTATGTACCTCTCTTTCCCACATCTCCTCCCTCTTTTACAGTCCTACAAATATACAATATATGTTGATTTCTGAGTTAAGTCGTATGTATCAGACTGATTCATTACTAACAAGCAAATTTTTACCAATATTTTATAAAGTCAGTGAGATATGGAAACTCTTTTGGTTCAAAACTAGATCTACTCACACACAAAAATCCAGCAGAATATTAAAAACTGTCATTCTCTCAACAAATCATAGAATCATAGAATCATAGAATAATAGGACTGGAAGGGACCTCGAGAGGTCATCGAGTCCAGCCCCCCGCCCTCAAGGCAGGATCAAGCTCCGTCTACACCATCCCTGACAGATGTCTATCTAACCTGTTCTTAAATAATGTAGGGTAATAACTATAAAACAGGGCTGAAAATGTTTAACGTTCTCCATTTTATAAATTTTTCTGTCAGAGCAACTCTAACATGCAAAATAGGATTCTTTAAATGCTCTTTATTGTAAAGAGCTTTAACTTTTTTGTTTTTGAAGTGAAAATTAATCAGATGAGAAAAATACTGTAGAGATCTATTACAATAATCAGTTTTAATCAAAACTGTTTAAATTTCAAACCTAAACATAGGACTTGGAATACATAAAAATTGTCTTCATTGATTTAATAATGTAATAATATTAAGCATGTGAGTCTCAGTGGTGAGCAAGTGGGATGCACTTCCTTTTACAGATATTTCAGGCACTCAGCTTTAGACATAAATTTTAGGCTGAGTAATAAGAGAGTAGCAAAACAGTTCTATTCAAGCAAGATAGCCTTTCAGCCAACAACCGTCTCCATAATTTTTTAAAACTTTTACTTCTCCCTGGCTCACTTGGGATAATGTTAGATTTAAAATTACATCCAGAGAGTCGCATGGAATACAAGAACTCTTCTCTTTAATGCTATAACATTTATTTTTGAATGTTTTTTTTTTAAACACAAAAAACTTGATAATAAATTATTGAATATACACACAAATATACAAAAACAAAAATACAGGAAGCATCTGTACATTAATAGAGAGTAGAATAACAAGGTCTGCAGTGAAAAATATTTTGAGGCATGAAACAGGAAACTGATTAGGAAAACAGAATTTAAATTGTTATGAGAAACTATTAGGGTGTGTCTAGACTACTGAGTTTTGTCGACAAAGGTGGACTTTTGTCGACAAAACTATACCAGCATCTACACTACTGCTGAGTTCTGTCGACGTTATGTCCATTACATAACGTCGACAGAACTCAGCAGTTTTGTCGACGCTGGTATACCTCATTTTACGAGGCATAACACCTTCTGTCAACAGAAGGTGTTATTGCCTGTAGGGTTGCGTCTAGACTACAGGGTTCTGTCGACAAAGCAGCTTGCTTTGTCGACAGAACTCAATGTATCTGGACGCTCTTTGTTGACAGAAGTTTTGTCGTCAGATACTGTCAACAAAACTTCTGTCGACAAAACCCAGTAGTCTAGATGTACACCCTTAGATGTCATAAGAAGAAAGATAAGCACACAAAGCCTATATCAGATACAAAGCAGGAAAAGAATATCACTTGAATTAAAAGCCATAAAACAAAAACAAAAGAGATATGAATGAAAGTTTTGAGTATTGTGAGGAATAAGGAGAACATTTAATATTCAATTTTTAAATAGTCAACAAGCATGTGAAGATTTCTGAGCATGTAGCAATATATTCCCATTTTCAAGTATGGGTAAACTCTTCAGCTATTTCAGTGTCATGTCATACATTGTACTGAAAGTCTGAATCAGATGAATTGAATGACCCAAACAGGAGATCAGAAGGTAGGCCTATGACTAAGTGAGTCAGGAAAGCCTAACTATCAGGATGACAAATGGAGATGTCATTAATTCACTTGCTCCACAGATAGCTACACATCAGTGCCTTCTGCATCAGCAATTTATGAGGAACTGCTGTTTGCTAACTCCTGGAGTTAATCCCAGGAGTTGTTTTATGCTTTACAAGAAAACAGACATGTGGTGGTAAGAAAGATTGTGGATGAAGGAATATATAGAAGAGAAGAGAAGAGTTAATAATTATAGCAGTGATTTATTGGATTCTATCAAATGTCAAACTGTTTATCCACCAAGAAATCCTCCTTGGAATTCTCTTTTTGCATCCCTCAGAATCATTCACAGTGGCTCTTGTCTGCTGTAAATGGAATGGAGATAATTTGAGATAATCTAATCCAAAAGTGAAATATCATGTTTCCTAATAGCAAGTCACATTGGAGCGGAAAGTAACTAAACGACTGTTTGCTCAACAGTCCTGTAAACAGATTATCCACATAAGGCACCCCAAGAACACAATAAAAAGCACAAGTCGTACAAATGTCAGATTACAGAAAAGTTTTATTGATACATTTCTTAATGGTCTCAGAATTACTTAGCTGAAAGAAGTTCCTCTATGTTAAACCTTAGTATTGTGGTATTTCCCTTTTAAAAATAAATCTATTTTAAATTAAATTTGAAATTATAATACCAATATTAAGACCTAAAACTTACTTTAATCTATTAAC